ATAGTGCCTAAGGCACATGACTGCTAATCAGAAGGCTGGTGGTTCAAACCCACCAGCCACTGCTTGGAAGGAAGATGGGGCAATCTACTTCCGTAATGATGCTGCCTTGGAAACCCAAGGAGGGGTCACTATGAGTCAGGTCAGACTCAAGGGCATATAAGAACAATCAACTAAAAGGAGGTCTTGTGGCATAGTGCCTAAGGCATCTGACTGCTAACCAGAAGGCTGCTGGTTCAAACCCACCAGCCACTCCTTGGAAGAAAAATGGGGCAATCTACTTCCGTAGTGATAACATCTCGGAAATCCAAGGAAGGGTCACTATAAGTTGGATCCGACTCAAAGGCACGGAGTTCGGTTTGGTTTTTTTAATCAACTAAAAGTGCATAGAATATTGCCTGGCACGTAGAATGTAACTATAATAATACAGATTTAAGTGTAAAACCCCAAAACCCAACCCACTGCCATCGAGTCAATTCCAATTCATAGTAACCCTTAGCAGAACAGCCCCATAGGGTATCCTAGGTTGTAAATCTTTACAGAAGCAGACTTCCTCATCTTTTTCCCCACCTAATTTTTTAACCACAGCACCACCAGAGCTCCTTTAAATGTGTAAGGCAGCAGTAAAATTGGCACAAACAATCCTGTCCTGTCTTTTTAAGAGAAGTTTTGAGCTGAGTTAACAGACACGTTGAGTACTACTAGCTACTCAGAAGGTGCTCACCAAACATGTAGATTAAGAACAATGCGTCCAAGAGGTCCTCAGTGTCACATGTCTTACGGTACAGAAATATGAGTGAATTAGGATCTATCTTTCCTCAGCTCTACAGTGCTCCTTGTTGCCATCTTAGAAAATCATAGGGGAATTGGACGAGAAAATAATTTGGTAAAAATTGAAATACCAGATCACTAAATTTTCACATACTGGTAATTTTGATACATGTGTAGAAGTTGTCAAAATTAGTTTGTGCTTCCCCTTTTTTGGTTGGTTGGCTGGGAATTTTTTGGTGGGGAACTTGGTGAACATAATACACATTTGCAACCATGTAGTATTTTTGTTTATTTTTTAGTGGAGGTATATGTATATATGTACAGGTATATGTACAGGTATATGTAAATATGTATATGCTTTTAACATGTCTTACTCATTTTTAGCCATCTATTTTTCTTTAGTTGATTTGACGATAATATCATGAATTTTAAAATTTTGGTTTTACTTCTAAGTGAATTTTCAGAACATAGAATTGTCCTAAAACAATGTTTTCATCCACTAGATTGTAGGTTATTGGATTCATTTTACTGTAACATATTGTAAGCAGTGGGAGCTCTGGTGGTGTAGTGTCTAAGGCATTTGACTGCTAACCAGAAGGCTGGCGGTTCAAACCCACCAGCCACTCCTTGGAAGGAAGATTAGACAATCTACTCTCGTAGTGATAGCACCTCAGAAACCCAAGGAGGGGTCGCTATAAGTCGGATCCAACTGAACGGCAGTGAATTTTTTATTTTAAGCGATATCATTTATTTTTAAGTTATCTTCCATTTTAACATTTTAAAATAATTTAAGTTACTATGAATACATGAAAGTTCAGTTACTGGAAATATTCTTTTTAACAAGTTTTTTTTATCCAACTCATTCGTGATCAAGGCATTCATTCAATGGAACAGGTATATTCAGAACACTGGGCTTAATAGCCCTGTTTTCTCTCCAAGGCCAGAGGAGTGCTGTCAGGGCCCACAGCAGCCACCAGGGAGACAGCCAGTCTTTGTGAAATGCTTTTTTTTTCCCCCTCAGTTTCCTTTTTCCATAGTTTGGCATAGCCACCTAGGATATTTGAGGCATTGTTTATTTACTTCTACTCACACTTCCACTTCTTTCCCTGCCACTCCTGGCATTGTATGCTGCTCCTTACTGTTTCCAGTCCTTCTTTTCAGTTTGAAATCTCTTACCTTACTAAATGTTTTATTACCTCGGTGACCTCAGTGTAATTTAGCATTCCAGTAAATTCTTTAGGAAAGTAGAAAGCAAGGAGATCTTCTTTGATCTTACTTCTTTGTATCTTTCTTACTTCTTTGTAAGAGAAAAAAATGAAGGGACTAGGAAAAGAACAATAATTTTAAAATTTGTTTTAGCATCTACTCTATCCTAGGTGCTTGTTAGACACAAATTATACCAAGTATGAATTATGTCTTAAATTCTCACTCTGCTCATTCCCAAGATAGTTAACACTTTCTTAGGGAGCTGTTTCACGTCACTTGCCTGAGGGTGAGTCTGTTGATGAAGACCCCTTGGTGTTTCAGATCATTATCTGGGTGTTCCTTAATCCCACTCTAATGTTGGTTAACTTCATCCCTTTACCTTTTCTCTTCCTAAAGTGCTTATTACAAGTTACCTGTGTATAAAGTTAAACTTTCATGTTTTGTTTTGTTTATTGCTTGTGGTTTTGATGGTGTGTTTATTTTTGTTGCTTTATTTTCAGCATTTTTTAACCTAGCAAGAATTGATAATTACACTTACTAATTACCTAAGGCTGTCTTCTTTAATTTTTATTTATTTTTTTCGGGAGATTGTTTTTAGTACTAAAAACAGATAGGTAGATATCTATATATATAGCCTTCCTGGTAACTGCACATGCTCTTTAGTGAAAAATAATTACCCCCTGACAGACTGTAGTAGTATACAGATGTATCCTTGAGTTACAAATGAATATATGCATATAGATCTTTAAATCTATATTCATACAAATATGTTTATATGTAATATCCCAATTCTAAGAATTTAATTCATTGGCTGGGTTTGGAATTGTGTTAAGTAGCATTGTATAGGCATTTCAACACTTTGACTTTGTTTTTCTTTATAGGAATATTTTTCAAGATGTCTTACACAGAGACACTCTAGTAAAAGCCTTCCTAGATCAGGTAAATATTGAACCTGAGAGTGTCCAAATGAATGATGTGACCTCTTTTTTAGTGTATCCTACAATGTCTGTACTGTGTATCCAAAAAAACCAAACCCCACTGCCCTCAAGTCAATTCTGACTCATAGCGACCCCCCATTGGTTTTCAAAGGTGGTAAATCTTTACAGAAACGGCTGGTGGGTTTGCTTATCTTTTGGTTAGCAGTCAGATGCCTTAGGCACTGCATCATAGAATCGTCATTATTTTTTCATACTATCTCTGCTCTTCGAAAGTATATATGATTTTCTTTAGACTTATTAATGGAGTGGCTTCTATATTTACACTTAAAGATGGAACATTTCCCCAGTTCAAATAATGAATATTTTCATTTCAAGTACTAACCTATAACTAAAAGGTTTTTGCTTGGTTTTTTTTTTTTTTGGGGGGGGGGTGTTGTTTATTTATAGGAGCCCTGGTGGCACAGTGGCTAAAACGCTCAAGAAAACTGCTAACCAAAAGGTGGGCGGTTCAACCTACCAGCCACTCTGTGGAAGAGAGATGTGGCAGTTGTTTCCATAAAGATTATATTCTTAGAAACCCAACAGGGCAATTCAACTCTGTCCTGTAGGGTTGCTATGAGTCAGAAGCAACTAATTGGCAATAGGCTTGGTTTATTGGTTTTTGTTTCTTTATTTGCCCTAATTGAACAAACATATTTTGTAAAATTTAGTATCATTTCTCTTTAGTGAATAGCATCTTTATTGTCTCAATCTTTTGAAAAAAAGTCTAATTATACATTGAAAGAAAATTATAGGTTACATGGGACTTATTTCTCAATATACCCGAGCCTTGTCATAATACTATTCTGGGGATCAGGCCAGGAAACCATGTTATTGATGTAACTTTGAAATAATAAGATCCTTATGTTAACTAGAAATTTTGAATCCAGGTCAGTGTGGTCTGTGACATACTACAAAGTTCAAGGATAATTCATTGTGCTATAATTTCATGCTTTTCAAGCTGAAATAAAATCCCTCCACCGCCACCCACCGCCTCTATATATGTCACCCCCAAGAGTATAGGGATATGAATCTCAAAACTATAGAATAAACATGGCTCAACTTCCGGGAGCTTCAGTTTTATTCAGATACTTGGGCAGAAAATGTTAGGTAACATAACTGGAAGTAACTGACATCCTGATTTTTAACATCAAAATAGACATGGATATATTTTGAAGTAGAATGCAGAGTTTGAATGCATGGTCAGATTGCTTCCAGACCCACCATTTCTGTCACACTCGCATTTGTTAGGGGCATCAGTGAGAGAGATAGAGGAGAGCTGTTCTGATCTGCGTTATCTGCCAAACACTGTCACACTCTGATGGAAACATGCCGTATAATCCGAATGGGAAAAAATTATTTAAAAAATGGTTCACTTTCCTGCAGGTCTTTCATTTGAAACCTGGTTTATCTCTCAGGAGTACTTTCCTTGCACAGTTTCTACTTGTCCTCCACAGAAAAGCCTTGACATTAATAAAATATATAGAAGATGATACGTAAGTAAAACTCCTGTACAAGAAAAATACCTGGTACATTATATTTTCTTTGCTCCTTTTGGATATTTTCTATATTATAATTTTTTTTTTTTTTTTTTAATTATTTGTAGGCAAAAGGGAAAAAAGCCCTTTAAATCTCTTCGGAACCTGAAGATAGACCTTGATCTAACAGCAGAGGGCGATCTTAACATAATAATGGCTTTAGCTGAAAAAATTAAACCTGGCCTACATTCATTTATCTTTGGGAGACCTTTCTACACTAGTGTACAAGAACGGGATGTTCTAATGACTTTTTAAATGTGTAGCTTGTTAATTATATTTCATCACAATCATGACTGCTGTTAAAGTAGCACAGTGGTGGGAGACATAACCCTCTGGTCATGCCCCCACAGTGCTACTCAGCAATTGCAGTTAATGGAGTTACACTACAGTTGTCACAAGAAATCTGTAAGGGAGTATCAGCTGCATCGTGAGAATGGCACCTCTTTTCCTGGATGAACTATCTTGGGATACATCTTATGTTTACAGTTATAATAAAAATTATTGCTGTCTTTTAAAGATATAATGATAATAGGATATAAACTTGACCACAACTACTGTTTTTTGAAACTTAATGATTCGTGGTTTACATGGATCAAAGTGAAATCTGAGTTAGCTTTAACTAGGGAAAATACTAGTTGACTCTCCATTTTTTAGTGTTCCTTGGTATGTGATTTTGCTGTATGTAATACTTTTACAATCAGCTGACAATTAGTACATCTGAATCACATCAGTGCATTCCGTTCCACAGAAAGGAAGTCAGCTTGAGCATATAGGTTAAGCTTTAGAAAGAAAATATTGATCAAGCAGATGTTTAATTGAAATTAATTATCAGACCCTATTTTGTAGACGTGGTCCTTAGGGGAGTCAGTCTATTTAGAAATGTCAAGCAGTGTGTATAGTCCCTGATTATGGTGAACCCCAGTCAGGTTATTTTGCTTGTTTGTTTGTTTGAGTGTTCTGGTTATTCATTATCTGGTATAGTTGAGCTCTGCCCAGGTGAATTGGACTTTATGTTTTAGTAGTAGTTGTTGCCACTTTTCAAATTAATTTTTATTCGTTTGGAGCCAAATTGAACTGTGCACCTCCTGTGCCTTTTTTTCCTTGGAAAATATAATTACTTGGAAGAAGTGAAGATTTCACTGGTCAGTCTTTTTCACCTTGCTTTCCTCTTGTACACTCTTAACTTACACCTGATTTGGCAATCTTTTGAACTCTGAGATTGTAAAGTGCAATAGAAAGGATACTAACTACTATGATCTTTTTTTCAGGAGCAGAGAACAGTTTCTAGGTTGTCTTTCTTCTTATATTTCTGTCCTTTTTTTTTTTTTTTTTAACTTGCTGCCATGTCTTTGCCTGCATATGAGAAATAGCAGGAGAAACTTTACTGAAGTGCTACTTTACTAGGTGCTACTTTGGCAGAACTAAGTGATCTTTATTTCCTTAATGTGTTTGGACCATTTTGCTAGCTATAAAATAACTAACATATTTCTGTGCTAGAATAGAGTTGATGTAGTATGCACAAACACAAATGTTTTTATTTAAAACTGTGGAAGCAATGCAAAAGGGAAAAGGTATTTCTAAGAAAGAGTTGAAAGTGATAGAGCCCCCTGTGCCCACAACCACCAAGTGTAACCAAAAAGAACACATTCGAAGCCAACAGGTCATAATAGCCTTTCACATCATAAATAAGAAAAATGTGGACATCTTGGTTTTTAGATATGCATTGACCTAGATGACTAGTACTCAAAGTCATGAAAAAGTTTGTAATAGTACCTTGTAGTGTCCCATAGTTTACTCAGTGCTTTTTACAGAATAGATTCTTATTTAAATGCTGACTGATTGTTTTATTTTGCTGGTTTTATTCTACTGGTATACACAATGCAAGTTGTACAGTGAAATAAGTTATTAAAGCATGTGTAAACACTGTTATATATCTCTTCTCCTAGATGGAGAATTTTGAATAAAATGTTTTAGAAATTCTGTCTCTTCCACTTATTTTTTCAGGAAAAGCAATACTGTGACATTAGAAGATGATTAGCTTTCATCTTGTATTTTGGTTACTTTGTGCTGCGCTAACAGAAGTATCACAGGTGGAATGGCCTTAACAAACAGGAATTTATTCTCTTACTACAGTTTTGGAGGCTAGAAGTCTGAGGTCAAAGTGCCAGGTCCTAAGGGCTGGGTGAAAGCCCCTCAACCTTGGGCTTCAGCTCTGCCTCTTGCTTCTGGCCCACTGGAGCTACCAGTGTCTCTTCACTCAGGCAGCTGCTGACTGCTGGGGCTAACAAGCCAAGGTCAACAAGTAAAATGGCACAATTCTCATATTACCAACATGACAGGCCACTAGTTCAAGTCCAGAGACAGTCTCAAGATCAGTGGGAAGTATGGCAGGCTTCTAAATGAAGACTCAGCTACACACAGGTCTAAACATGCCAAAAAGCACCAGAGGCTTTTCTCAACACTTTTCCTTATATACTGGAAGCAGATCACATCCCTAAAGCAGCTACTCAGCTGCCCACTGCAGATTCCACCATAAAGTTCATTGCCAGTCTCATCATGGGGGAATAACTATGACCAACTGACCAACTGCCCAGCCACTCAAAACCAGGGCCAGCCAAGTTGACACATAAACTTAACTACCACATCTTACATCTAAACCATTTCTTAACTTTGTCTTTTGAAAGAAAACATACTTCAGAATTTTCTATGATACTGGAATCTTATGTTTACAAGGGAAGAAAATCTTTCTGTTTCGCCCTGGGTGCATTTTGATTTTAAAAATTATGTATTAATACTCAAATGGAAAATTATACTTTGGTAAATTTCTTTTTTAAAAAAATCTTATTATAATGACCTTAATGTAACCCAAATTGCAGTTATTCATTCCATGTATCCAGTACAGGTATTCAGAGTAAAAGTGTAAAGATTCTAAACCCTTTATAAAACAAGAAATAAGATTCACATTTTCACTACAGGGGGCAAAAATATAAAAGTCATTCATGAGTCTACCAGTTTAAAGAATTCTTTAAAAGATGGTTGAGTTACTGTATCACTCAGTCTCAAAAGACAAAAGCAATGCTGTAAATTTAAGACAGTTACTTCTTCCATATATTTCTGTAATGCTGGAGAGCTGGAGTTTATACAAAAATGCAGTGAGTTCTAATCTAACACTGTTTTGGTTTTGATGTGGAATTATACAAATTAATATTTTTTTTTCTGTGATTTGCAGGATATACATTAAAGTTATGAAACAGTTAACCACCCCAGTTAACACACACCGCACACTGGACTTTCTCAATTTATCATCACAACACACTTTGAAGGGGGTATTATTATTTTTATTATACAGATGAGGAAACTAAAGCTTAAAAAGTAAAGTATGTTACCCAAGGTCACACAGCTGTTGAGTGGTAAGATTGGATTTCAACGCTCTGGTAGCATAGTGCCTAAGGCACTTGACTGCTAACCAGAAGGCTGGCAGTTCAAACCCACCAGCCACTCCTCGGAAGGAAGGTTGGGCATTCCTACTTCCGTAGTGATACTGCCTCGGAAACCCAAGGAGGGGTCGCTATGAGTCGGGGCCGACTCGATGGCAAATAACAACAACAACAGGCCAGCTCCTAGCACAGGGCCTCCATGTAGTAGGTACTCATTAACTAAAGGCAGGGAAATGAAGGAAGTGTTGATGGCCTACTGACACTCTAGAGTGCCCATGTGTGAATCACTGTTACAATGCCTGAGGAAGTTACTTAACCTCTGAGACTCATTTTTTTGATAATTAAAATGGCAAAGGGATGATGAAAACTACCTTACATGAATTTTAAAAGAATTTAACATGCTTGGATCAGTACCTGACTGGTGCTATTACCTGCTTTTTTAATCCAGTCTGACAACCTCTACCTTTTAATTGAGGGTATTTATAGCAATTACATTTAATGTGATTATTGATAGGGTTAGGTTAAATCTCTCATTTTGCTATTTGTTTTCTGTATGTTCACTGTTCTTTGTTCCTTTTTTATTTCTCTACTTTCTTTTGCACTAAATGAGTTTTTTACAATTCCATTTTATCTCTTTTGTTGGCTTACTAGCTATTTGTCATTTTCATGGTTGCTTTAGGGTTATAATAGGACTCTAGATGATGGAAGAAATTTTTTGGTTAGGCTTATAATATACATCTTTAACTTATCTGTCTATCTTCAAGTGTATACTATTTGACATGTTGTATAAGAACCTTATAATAGTATATTTCCTTTTCCCCCTTCTCACTTTGTGCAGTTGTGGTCACATATTTTACTTCAATATATGATAAAAAGTGTACCAAAACTCTAAAGCAAACCAACTGCCTTCTAGTCAATTCTGGCCCATAAGCGTTTCAGAGTGTAGAACTCTACTGCATAGGATTTTCATTGGCTGTGATTTTTCAGGTGTAGATTGCCAGGCATTTCTTTCAAGGCACCTGAACGTGGATTTGAGCTGCCAACCTTTTGGTTAGTTGTTGTTATGTGCCGTCAAGTCGGACCCAACTCATGGCGACCCCTCCTTGGGTTGCCAATGCAGTATCACTACAGAAGTAGATTGCCCAACCTTCCTTCTGAGGAGTGGCTGGTGGGTTTGAACCACCAGCCTTCTGGTTAGCAGTCAAGTGCCTTAGGCACTATGCTACCAGAAGTTAGTGGTAAGTGGTTAATCAGTTGTGCCACCCAGGAACTCATGAACTCCATGCTATATTGCTATTATTTTTGCTTATACTGACTATATTAATATTAGGAAAAATAGAATTTAGAACAAATAAGTTGCTAGAGATAAAGGAGATCATTGCATCATGATAAAGGGGTCATTCAAACGGATATAGTAATCTTAAATGTTTAGTCACCTAAAATCAGCTTCAAAATACATGAAACAAAAGCAGAATTGAAGTAGAAAGACAAATCCATAATTATTGTCAGAGATTTAAATACTTTTCTCTCAATGCTTGATAGAAAAGAAGAAAATCATAGGATATAGAAGACTTGAGCAACATTGTCAACCACCTGATGTAGTTGTCATTTATAGAACACCTTTACCAACAACGGTAGATTACATATTCTTTCTTAATGCACATGGTTAAGGAAGATAGACTATATTGAGTCATAAAACAAGTCTCAAATTTCAAAGTATTTAATTCATACAAAGCATGTTCTTCGATCAAAATGGAATTAAATTAGAAACCAGTAACAGGTATCAGGAAAAATTTTAAATATTTGGAAACTAAATAGTACTTTAAAAAGATTAAGTAATTTCCAAATTTGTGTTTGGAGGGGAGGTGCCAGAGTGTTGTGGAAAGATTTTCCTGAAGAATAAAACTCATTCTGTGTTTCATGTCTCTCCCCACTACAGTCGATTGTTTACATTGACAACAGCATGATCCATCTAACATTAGATCTGGTAAGCACTGCTGCTTTAATGACACCATCACTGACAAGTCTAAAATCTTTGTGACACAATCCTTTCATCTCTAACTGCACTTTCCACTGGTCTGTGTAGTACATATTTCTTTTGTTGCCCTTATTTTATTACATTATTTCTTTGCTTGTCTGTCGTCTTTAATTTAGAGAGGAAGAGCAATGTCTGTCATTTTTGCATGCCAGTGCCTCATATGGTGCTGGGCACAGGGCACGCTTCC